CATTTTTAGCGTTTCTCAATTGCATGAATCCTTTGTTATTACTCCCTCCGTCCCGCTAAGATTGTCCCATTTTTCCTTTTCAGGGAGTCCTACTAAGATTGTTTCATACCAAATTTGGTAAAGTTTGTGTGGCTCTAAATCATTCTTACTTTATCAATTCAATATCAATCACATAAACTCACATTTATTAATAACTGTGTCACCTCCTCATGTCCCAATGTTAGTGGGACGGAGGTAGTATATTTTATAAACACAAATATGTAACAAAATATTTATATATCTAATGAAAAGTATTTTTATTATTACGAAGTGATTCCAACTTTATCCAACTTTGTGCTCTGAAAAATTCATTCCAAAATTTTAACATATGTAAATCCGAGTTAGTTAAACTATTCATTAGATTTCCATTGTCATCTAATGACATGGTTAAACATATAACATATGCATCCCGTGCAACGCACGGGTAAAGAATCTAGTATTATAAGTAATTAGTAATCGTTTCGATGAATTCCAATTTACAATATTAAAGGAGTGTTTGGGTTTGCTTAAAAAAAGCACTTTTCAGCTTTTGGCTTAAAAAAAGTTGAAAAGAGTGTTTTCAAATCACAGCTTCTGCTTAAATTAATCACTTAAAAACTAAAAGCTGGAAGTAGGTAGAAGGGTGCTTTAAACTGCTTCTCACCTTTTTTATTACACAAAAAGTACTTATTTTACCAAACACTACCAACTTTTACTTTTCCAAAATCACTTTTTTTACAAACACTACCAACTTTTACTATAAATCACTTTTCCCAAAATCACTTTAAAAAATCACTTTTTTAAAGTTGAAGCAATTGCAAACACTCCCTAAGCTATGTTCAATCTTAAATGACTTGAGTCCTTTTACATAATAGCAATACTATATGATCTGTTAAAATCTGCCCTCCTAATTTGAAGCTTGTCCTTAAGCTAGGATTTCAATTCAAGGGAAACTCAATATTACCGTTCGAGACTTCGAACATTGAATAAGAAGATAAACTGCTACACTTTTTCCTCTTTTGACAATCTTCCTATCCAAAATAACTGCTGGTTCAATCCTCAGTTGTAAAGAGTCATCCACTGCAGCCTGCAATAATAGAACTCTTTTGTCATTTTAAAGTCAGTGGAGAATAAAAACTACCTAGAAAAGCTCTGTCAGAAGTGATTTTATAACACATTAGAAATGCCACCCAAAATGCTGATACGATATAAACCCTGAATAATAAGAAATAATTCGTATAAAACATATGATCTTCTCAATTGGAATCCAATGAAGTAAACAGTTTGATACTTTGATAACAATATGTCAAACAGAATGTTTCAGTTTGGTTTCAAATCGTGAAATCGTAAATCGAATCGAATAATTTTTGATAATTTTTAATGTTTATTCAAACACTTTGTAGTTGTTTCCGCTCTTCATTTTTAGAATATAAATAAATAACATAGATTTGAAAGAAAACATGTTAACACATACTCTTTTTTAGACTTTACACATTTCATTCAATCATTATGACAAATTAAAGTTAGGTAATAAAATATACTCTATATTTGTTACTCAATTTGTCCCACCTTAAGGTTTTCACTTTCTTTTTTTGAACGTCGTATATAAAGGTTCTCATTCATATTTTTAAGAAAAATTAACACTCTTAAATGTCAACTTAGTCATAAAGTATTAAAAATAATGCACCTAATAACATCACAATTATCATCAATGACTCCATTATACTATATATTCATCAAAATTACTTCACAAAATATACCCGATTGACCTTATTTAATTATCATCTAAATAATCGTGTCATTTGCAATGAGCCCCTTAACCTCAGACAATCAGACGAATGTAGCATATTCTATAATGTGTATGAAAATATGGTTGACGGTGACAGTAACAAATTGCATTTATATCAATTTGAGTTAAATTAGAGTACAAATATACATTTTACATAACTCATCATTTCAAAAAAATATGAATTGTACAATATTATTTACGGCTAATTCATTTAGTTTTATTGGAATATTTTATAAGATCCGATATTATAAATGCTAATCAATTATAAAGTTAACTTTTGTAAGCGGCGAATATTTTTTCTTGTGATTGAGAAGATGCCAAACTTCTTATGTCATTAGCCCTATCTAGTAAGACAAAATATGTGAATTTATAATACTTTATTATTTCTTTGTCTATGTTTTACTTCCCTTCACAACAAGGTGAAGTTGACTACACTATATTAATCTATTTCTAAGAACATCTCTAATGCTAGAATGTTTACGGTGCACATGTGACATGAGAGGTGTAGACACATAAAAATAAATAATTGACATTTCTCTCTACTTTAATTTTTTCACAATTTTATATAATTTTGGTAATAATGTCAATCACTATGTCTACAAGTAGGCATTCTTCTTGACATTGTGAAAAAAACTTACCAAAAATGTATACGACCGCTCAAAAGATCGAGGAAATAGATATTTTAATTACTAATATTTGTATGTTTATCTTTCTCATGTCACATGTGCACCATACACGTTGTGACATTGGAGATTCTCTAACAAATAGAATTTGGATTTATAGATAAAATAAATCAATAAGCATATGAGATGGAGATGATTGGATTGAGTCGGAACTAAATTGAAATACAATATAATTGTTTTAATTTGATAAATTGAAGCTAAGCTTAAATGGATTAAGGAACACCCGGAAGAAACCTCTGATAATTGTGAAGGGGTTGGTATTGGTAATCGTCCTGGCTTGAACAAGAAAACAATAAACAAGAAGACATGGAGATGATTGGATTGAGTTGGACTGTGGACCATTTGGCAACGTTCAAACATTGCCTCATGACTACTACCTAAAAACAATAGTATTTACGAATTAAAAATTAAAGTTGATATGGAACACTTTGGGATGAAGACACCCTTTGGGTGGGGTGGGTAAATGGGGTTTACCTCAATGGTAGGAGCGTGTGGGATTTTATCCCACACAATCGTGACTCAATGTTCATGAAGAAATTGAGCCACATCTGGGACCAAATTTTGGGGTGTTTTAACAATTTGAATGATACCATTATGGGCCTAAATAGTAGATCCGTAAATGGTAAACTCCGTTCGGGAAATATTTATGAATTGTTGAGAATTAAAGGGACGCCGAGAGTGTGGATGAGCTTCATTTGGAAGTCTTATATCTCTCCGAAGTTTTCATTCAATGTCTGGCTTGATATGAGGAACCGGTTACCTACACAAGATAACCTCGGTTACCTACATATTGTTAATTGTTGTGACCTGTGCAAGGGTGGATTGGAAACAATGACGCACCTATTTTTTCGTTGTCATTACACTTTTGGGGTCTGGGAAAAATTAAGGAATGGTTGGGCATGACTCGAGAGATGACCACGCTTTGTAGCTCCGTCAAATGGATCTTGAAGGATCATAAAGGATCAAAGATCAAAGGGAAGGTTGTCCGGATTGCGTTTGGTGCCGCGGTTTACCACCTTTGGCACGCTAGGAACGCCAACCGATTTGATGAGGGGGACGTCAAGGAAGAGGAAGTCATTGCAAAAATCAAGCATGTGGTGTATAAAATACTTTTCAATTTATACCCATATGACTTGATTACGTTCTGAGTAGAAAGCCGCGACATGGATATTATGGATGTCGAGGTTTTGGATAGACCGCTACATGTTTGTTTGGTGCGCCGAGTCATGGATATTATGGATGCCGCGGCTTGTGCACTTGGTACACCGCGGCATGGACATCATGGATGTCGCGGCATGAAGCATGGTCTTGGACTTTATGGTGTTTGATTTAGCAACACCTTTTGTACTTTGTTTAGAATAATTTAGCCTCTGATCTGTGCGCGTATATGGGCACGCCGATGTATTTTTTTGAACCTCTTGATGGGCCAAGTACTATACTTGTTTTTTTTGGCATAGATTAGATCAAATAAAAACCTCCTTCACCCTCACAATATGTGGGGGTGGGGGAGGTTTTAGGAGATCTAGGATATGTGATGTATAATTTTTCTAGGTGTTAATATATATTTACATTTCATCCAAAAAGACAAGAAGCAAATTGCATAATTTTCATCAATTGGAGGAATTCTAGGACGGGCTCACCTCGACCAAAAATAGTGATCTTTTTGAGTTGGCATTTGGGTATGATAAAATTCAATTTTGTTTTCCATTTTAAAAATAATTAATTAATTATCCATTTTCAAATTTCAGCAGGGGTTTACTTGTCTTTAATTTTGTTAAATAATTAGGTTGAATATTTTATTCCAAAAATATTAGATTAAATATTTCATACATGAATTGTGGTAATTTTTTTGGTTGGTGAACTTTTAGAAAAGTCCATAAAATTTTAAATTTATAGATTTTTTATGAATGAATAGCTTTCATTTGCAAAAAAAAAAAAATAGATTTCATAGGAATGATATTCATCAATTTTATAAAAACTATAAGTTTGAAAATAATTATGTTAAGTAACATTCATTCATAGACTAAAGTCTAAACATCATAAAAGGTCAACTACATAATTATTCATAGTTGTGAGAAATAATTAAAATTTAAATGATTTGAATATGTCTTTAGTCTCCATAAATATAGTACGTAGTACATTTTAAGATGGTTTAAATAACATGTTCTCTGTGGGGAAAAAGGAACCCTAGGGGCTCTGACGTCTAGCTTCTCATGACTAGAACGGCTGGATGGGCCGCTCCTTATGAAGTGCATCACTTGGAATATGCGTGGTCTCGCTTCGTCGTGCCCGAGGCTTCGTGAAATTGTTAGGCACCATTCTATTAATTTGATAGCAATTATTGAACCAATTGTAGACTCTACTAAAGGGATTTATCATATGAATACTTTGGGGTTTTCCAACTTGTTTATGGCAACATCAAATAAAATTTGGGTTATGTGGAATGTTGCTATGTTTGATGTCTTGTACGTGACTACGTGAGGGATGAGGAACAATTTATGCTGATTAAACTTAGAGTACATATATACACCTCATCCCAAGGCTCCAGACGCCGCTGGGTAACTAACGTACAAGTTCTACTCCTATACGAAAGCTAACTATCCGATAATTACAAGTGGAGGAATTTACAATTGAAAATATAAATAATGAAAAGTAAACATGCGGATAACGCTGCATGCATAGGTGTGATCTACGTACACAAAAATAATACTCCGTAATATAATAAGGCCAACACCCCCCCTCAAGATGGAGCATGGGGATCAATAATGCCCATCTTGGCAAGGAGATAATGAAATTGAGAAGCGCCCAGTGCCTTGGTAAATAAATCTGCCAACTGTTCTGTAGTAGAGATGTGAGTCAGAACAATAGCACCAGAACGAACATGATCACGAATGAAGTGACAGTCTATTTTAATATGTTTGGTGCGTTCATGAAACACTGGATTAGAAGCAATATGAATGGCGGCATTATTATCACAAATCAGTTTCACAGGAGGAAGTGGAATCCGCAGAGAAGAAAACAGACTTTTCAACCAAAGAAGTTCACACGTGAGAGTAGCCATGGATCGGTACTCTGCTTCAGCTGAAGAACGAGAGACAGTAGCCTGCTTCTTTGTCCGCCATGAAATAGGAGAACCACCCAACGTCACAAAATATCCTGTAACAGAACGCCGTGTGTTGGGACAACTAGCCCAATCGGAGTCACAATACCCAACTAGAGAGAGTGAAGAATTGCGGTTGAATACAATTCCCCGGCCTGGGTGACCCTTCAGATAACGGAGTACACGTAGAACAGCATCCCAATGAGACTGCCTCGGCGTTTGCATAAATTGAGATAATATGTGTACCGAATAACTAATATCTGGTCGGGTGAGCGTAAGGTAAATAAGTTTCCCAACTAAGCGGCGGTACCGTTCAGGATCAGTGAAGAACGGACCGTCATCCAACTGAAGACCATGATTCTGAGACATAGGAAAATCAGCAGGTTTCGCACCCATTAAACCTGTCTCATCAAGAATGTCCAAAACATATTTTCTTTGACATACAAAAATTCCGCGCGGACCTCGGGCAACTTCCAAGCCAAGGAAAAATTTTACGAGTCCCAAATCCTTGACAGGAAAAATCTCAGCCAAATATTTCTTAAAAGAGGAGATCATATCAGGACAAGTACCCGTGATAAGAAGATCGTCAACATATACAAGAATGCATAATAAATGACCACCACGATGAAGTGTAAATAAGGAGTAATCAGCATGAGATTGAGAAAATCCATAGGTGATAAGAGCAGCTGTCAATTTAGAAAACCAACACCGTGGTGCCTGGCGAAGGCCATAAAGAGAACGAAGCAATTTGCATACCTGACCAGTACGAGAGGAGGTATAGCCTGGGGGTAGATACATGTACACTTCTTCCTTGAGATCACCATGGAGAAATGCATTATCCACATCCATTTGATGGATCTCCCAATCACGTGAGGCAGCGATAGCAAGAAGAGTGCGGACCGTGACCATTTTTGCAACAGGTGCAAATGTCTCATCATAATCAATCCCTTGAATTTGCCGATTTCCACAAACGACCAACCGTGCTTTGTAACGATCAATACTGCCATCACTCCTGTATTTTATTTTATAAACCCATTTGCAAAAAATAGGTTTCTTACCGGGTGGAAGATCCTGTATCTGCCAGGTCCCTGTACGTTCCAAGGCATCGATCTCACGCTGCATAGCTTCCCTCCACTGAGGATCACTGACAGCCTCACGAAAAGTACTCGGTTCCTTGTCAGATGATATGGCTGCAAGAAAAGCACGATGGTGTACCGAAAAACTATTATATTTTACGTAATGAGATAAGGGATATGGATTACCTGAGTCAACCGAAGAGGACGAGTGACGAACGGGTGGGGTGTCTATTTTCATAGTATTAATTTGTACCTCATAATCTTTATGCCACACGGGCTGTTGCTTGGGACGTGTGCTGCGACGGTCAAAAGTTTGTGAAGTTGCGCCAGGCTGATTTTCATGTGAAGATGACTCAATCGACCTATTTGTGTCACCTTCCACGTGCAACTGAACCCCATCTGTAGTTGTTTCGGTATGCAAGGTTGTGTCCTGACCATCATTTACGTGGGTCCCTTGGTTGAGTAGAGGTGAAGTTCGGTCCAAGGAGGAGTCAACCTCCTCATTGTCAATAATATATGTGTCACGGTTTTCATTCCCAGGGAGTGGAGCAGAAGGTGAAAATTCCACATTATTCATATCATGATAAGGAAATTGTGTCTCAAAAAATGTAACGTCACGTGAAACAAAGTATTTGTGACCTTCCAGATCATACAATTTCCAACCCTTTTGTGAATATGCATATCCCAAAAAAAAACACCGTATTCCCCGTGCAGCAAATTTGTCACCGGATTTTCCGTGTGCATGTGCATAACATAGACAACCAAATACACGTAGATGATCATATTGAGGTGCCTTATTATACAACAGCTCATACGGACTCTTAAAATCCAAAACAGATGAAGGCAAGCGATTAATAAGATAACATGCAGTCAGCACACACTCCCCCCAAAAATTAATGGGTAAATGTGCATGGAAACGAAGAGTGCGTGCAATGTTTAAAATATCTCGGTGTTTACGCTCTACCCTCCCGTTCTGTTGCGGAGTGTACACACAAGTCGTTTGAAAAAGAATTCCATTGTCCAAAAAATAAGGTTTCAAACATTGAAATTCTGTTCCATTATCACTCCTAACAATTTTCACACGTTTTTCAAACTGTCGTTCCACCATAATAATAAATTGTTTAAGAATTCGTGACACTTCACTTTTCTCCTTCATCAAAGAAACCCAAACTGCGCGTGAATAGTCATCTACAATTGTCAAAAAATATCTAGCACCACATGACGCAGAAACACTGTATGGACCCCACACATCACAATGAATCAACTCAAATATTTCCATTGCTCTTGAATGACTAGTATGAAAAATATCACGTGTCTTTTTTCCACGCAAACAAGCATCACAATTTTTATTCAAACCAACAGACAAACTAGCATCATTTAAACTACTGATGGAACGTAAAACTTTGATTGATGGATGTCCTAACCGGGAGTGCCACAAATCACTTCGTTCCTCCTTCGTTATTGAGCAAACACGAACTGGATCCAGACTATGAAAATAATACACCCCTCCACATTTTTCACCCGCTCCGATCGGCGTCCTCGAAAGTAGGTCCTGTATCACACAAACATCATTAGTAAAAAATATACTGCATTTCAGTTCATCAATTAATTGTGCCAAGGAAATTAGGTTGCACGTTAGGCCAGGGACCAGTAAGACATCTCCAATTTTTAAATTTTGTCCAAGTCTCACTTCACCTTTGCTAGTAGCATGTGTAACTTCTCCGTTTGGTAAATACACCGGCAGCGGTGATATTTTCTGAATATTCATCAAAAGAGAAACCTGGCCGGTCATGTGGGAAGATGCCCCTGAATCTAACAACCAAGCATTGGAACGAAAATCTTTACCTGATAACTTATCATGTGGGGATGTAGTTTTAACCTGATTCGTTAATTGTAGGATACTTTTCCAGTGAACTTCAGTAAAATCAGGTCCTCGTGAAGAGTCTCCTGGATCCTTCCGTCCTTCCGAGCTTGACAAATAGTAAGGTGAAGATGGATCGTTAATGTTCCTTCTCACCAACTGGCCGAAAAAAGGACTAGCGGAATCGGTCGTCATCGTAAATCGTTCGTGAGAGAAATAAGATCGTGGATCGTATGCCGTGCTCTGATACCAAATTGAGCCGACGTAATGGGAGAATTTCATATATCATTCAATTGTAAACAAGAGTACATATATACACCTCATCCCAGGGCTCCAGACGCCGCTGGGTAACTAACGTACAAGTTCTACTCCTATACGAAAGCTAACTATCCGATAATTACAAGTGGAGGAATTTACAATTGAAAATATAAATAATGAAAAGTAAACATGCGGATAACGCTGCATGCATAGGTGTGATCTACGTACACAAAAATAATACTCCGTAATATAATAAGGCCAACAGATTCATCCCACTTGATTTTACGTTTGTATATTCCCCTGTATATGTTAAACATATGAGGACCGTGAGAGCCCGGCTTTGGGAGGGGCTATGTAATTTTGCAGCACAAGAGAAGATTGTTTGGGTCTTGGGAGTTGATTTCAATATTGTGTCTTGCTTAGCAGAATACAAGGGTCCTTCACACCCTTCTTTGGGAGATATGATGGATTTCAGAGAGTGTATTGAAAATTGTAGTCTGTTGCAATTACCTACAATTGGCTATACATATACGTGGTTGGGAGATAGATCTAATGGAAGGTTGTGGGAACGGCTTGATCACTATCTTGTTAATAAGGAGTGTTGAAATATAAACTACAAAATATAATATTGAAGAGAGGAGGAAAGATTTTCTGTGTATTTCATTGGAGGGTTAAGTCCCTATAAATATACATTACAAAGATAGAATATTCCTATAAGATTCTATACAATAATAATATCCTAGAGTATATTCCTAAAATATTCTAAAGTATATTCTAAGGATAGAAGAATATTCTAAAGTATATTCTAAAGTATATTCTAATGTCTTTCACACTCCCCCTCAAGTTGGAGCATAGATATTTATCATGCCCAACTTGTTACATAAATAACCAACACGAATTCCATTTAATGCTTTAGTGAACAAATCTCCAAGTTGCTCTCCAGTCTTCACATATCCTGTAGAGATCAATCCTTGTTGTATCTTTTCTCGAACAAAGTGACAATCGACCTCAATATGTTTTGTTCTCTCATGAAACACTGGGTTGTTGGCAATGTGTATAGCAGCTTGGTTATCACACCAGAGTTTAGCAGGCATTGGTGTCTTCAATCCGATTTCACTCAGCAAATGGTTTATCCAGATTATCTCACATGCCGATTGTGCCATAGCCCGATATTCTGATTCAGCACTCGAACGATGTTAGGTCCCTGTTTTCTAGTCTATAAAATGTATGTATGGAAGATAGATCTGGGAATGAAGCTTTCCATTGATGGTGAAGGTTTTACAGAATGATATGAAAGTTAGCGTAAAAACCTTACACGCAAATAGGCACTGCGGCACAGAGAATGTATTGAAAAGCTTAACCTAGCCTTTCCCTTAAGGCATATATATAGCCTGACGGGAAAGGTAGGTTTTACAATCATTTGGGCTCCTTTTCCTAGGAGGCCCATACCTAAAAAGGTATAAAACCTTTATTACAAAATTGCCTTAAAAGGCCTATTCATTATTCTAGCTAACTATAAATTAGCAAAGTAACATTGATCACAATTACAATGAAAATATCTCTAACAATCTCCCCCTTTGTGATCAGATGTTCTTGCTTCTTCTTTTCTTCACTTCTGAGCTTTAAAATAATGCTTTCTAAGATTGAGTGCATGCTCGTAATTTCTGAGAGACCTTCTTCTGTCAAGTTGTTTCTCGATGGCTTTCAAGATTTTGTTGACTCTTTCCAATTCTTTGATTTCTTCTTTCGAGGCTTCATTCTGTCTTTTATCTAGATCTTCTTTCCTTGGCTGGAGCTGTTCTCGGATGATTTGCAGGGTCCCATCACAGTATTTTTGAATGTCTTCAACAATCATCAGACGCTTCTCTTCTTTGTGATTCAGATAAATGACTGAGATGGGCTTGTCAAATGTACCATATGCTGCAAAGGTTTCAAGCCCAGGTCTATCCAAGTCCGGTCGTGTAAGATTCGCCTTTGAATAATTGTGTTCAAGAGTCATCTGGAGATCATGGGAGGCGTAGAACCGAACTTGTCTTGTCATGAATCTCTTAATGGCCTCAAAACCTTCTCTAGCAAGTCTGTCTTTGTGCACTGGGAGCTCCCTGCATCTCATGAACATTTGATAAATATCATCCATGTGCAGTAGGAAGAAGTCATTCTCTTGACAGGTGAACTCCGAGCCATCTGTACGTCGTAGACGAAAGATCAGGAACTTAATCGTTTCCAAGTAGTCTTCTGTGATATCCAGGATTTTTGATATAGGACATCCACTTGTTGCGAGATTGTGATTTAGAACTTGTCTTCGTTCCCCTGTGGATCTGTGTCCTAGCATATACAGGTTACCTCCTCGGTATTTTCCTTTCAAGTGATTGATTCCTCGCATTTTTAATTCACTGAACTTCTTGATTTTTTCAGGTTGTCGCCAGATTTTCTCTCGGATTTCTTCTAGGAAGGGGGCTTTGATTCTAACAATTTCCCATTTTTCTTTGGCTGGTTCAGGTGCCTTGGGATTTTCTTTATGATTCTCCCCTTCCTTGAGTTCATCTTCATCGAGTCCAATCATTTGTGCATGATATTTGTTGAGGAATTCTCTGAGTTGCCAGCTTCGACACATTTCGTACTGCTCCGCTTCCACTCTAAGATCATCCCACTCTGTCCACTCGCGAGGCCACTGATCATGAACTAGAAGGTCTTCCAGTTCATCTTGTATTTGATTACCAGAGGGCTTAGAGTGAGCTTGTTGTTGTGTCGAAGGCGACCTGTCATGTGAAACACCGGGATCCTCAGGATTGCCCGTTATCATCAGATTAGAACTAGGTTCTTTCTGATGGCCTGAATAGAAAGGTGTACTCGAAGTAGCAACCTCAGGACTTCCACTCCATCCTTGGTCTACATCTATGAAAGATGAGCCTAGGAGTGTTGTTTCTAGCTCGACCGGGCTAGATGTGGGTTGATTGGCTGATTGGCTTTTATGTTGAGTGGATGATGGGGGCTGATTGTTCGAGGATTCAGGTTGGTTGGATTGCGTAGAGGGTTGGCTTGTTGACGCATCACGCTCAAGTGTCCTTTGTCTCTTGTTCTCCCCCTCATGAGGATCCGAGTCATCGGGGTCCTCATGCGAACGTTTGTGACCTAGGAGACTATCACGGCATGAGCTGTCAGGCTTAAGGATCCGAAGAAGGTCTTTTTGTTTCTGGGTTAGGTTGCCTTCTTCGGTGGCTAGTAGTTGATCTAGCATCAGGGTTTCGAGTACCTCGAACGGTAAAGTTTTAGGGTCAGGAAAAGGTGTGGTCGAAGTAGGGGAGGACACTAGTTCTGTATCCTGGGTTCCCCTTGAAGCAGTAGGTGAGTGGGGTAGGGTTGTGGATGGTTCAGAGGTTTGTTGGGTAGGTATGATAGGAAGTGGTTGGGTTTGTTGGGTATGTGAGGATGTTGGTTGGGGTTGGATGATGTCATTAAGCAACGCCGGGGTGTTCTTGAATTCCTGTGCCCGAGCGGTTATTGCTTCGTGCACCCATGGTTTAATGGTGGAATCCAAGAAACGCTGCAGAATGACAGAAAGGTCGGTAGGGTCAGGGTGTCCGGTTACAGGGGTAGTAACCGTTGTCACAGCATCAGTAAAGATTACCGATGTGTGGCCTGCAGATAATGATGGAGTAATCTGTTGTGCAGCAGGACTTCCGATCATCATTGAGGTATCTCCGATCGTTGAGGACAGGTAAAGTGCACCTGTTGTGTGCAGTGGTGTGAGCAGTGTATGTGTCCTAGAAAATGTTGAAAATGTTGGGATGGTGGAAACTAGACTCAATGTGCTAGAAGGAGGGGTAGTGGTCTGGGGCGGAAGACCACAAAGTAAATCCTCAGCTGCTTCGTAAGGAGGCAGCGAGGTGGGTAAAAGATCCCCTATTTGTGAAACTACTACCTGTTGGGAGGCAGCAGAGTGGCTGGGTGAGGCTTGTGCATGCGCAGTTGGGCTAGATGCTGCGTCTTCTACTCGGAGACTGAAAATATCAGCCTCTGCACCTATGGGGTTAGCCCGGTTTATTGTGTCAAGGTCAGAGCAGCTGTCATATAAAGCTAACTCTTCTGCCAGGTTGCTCGCGGTTTGCACTCTTTGCACAGGAGTAGATGATGAGGCAGCGTCATGACGCACCTTGGAGCGAGTCTCACTGATGATATTTCCTTGAGTGTCTTTGATTTGGTGAGACTGCTCTTGTGTTGTAGCCCGAGAAAGCCTGATAACGAGTCGTCCTTTCTTAGCGCGGGCTTTCTCGACTTGCTTGCCCTTTGCATTGGCGTTGTCGTCGTCCTCATCATCATCATCGTTGTCGTCCTCAGCCTTGCTCCCAGAGCCCTCATCGTCAGCGTCTTGTGTTGTGGCTACGCTTGGCGAATCACGGGTAAACTCCTCAGCACGGGTGTGGCCCTCAGCAGACATAGTCTGATCATCATGGGGCCGGCTTGCCACTGGTCTCTGTGGCTGGGTTGAACTCTCAGGACCCTCACTTACTCTCAGCTGACTCCCCGGGGTAGGCTCAGGGGGGTTTATCTGAGCCATAGGGAGTATAATGTTGTTCTCCTCGCTGTAGCGTATGACATGTGGATCATTCCGACCAGCTAACAGGAGGAGAGGGACAGGAATAGGTAATGGTACCAGTGAGCGTACCTCTGGCATTCTCTTCAGATATTGTAGGGCTGGAGTGCTGACATTCTCAGTTGTTTTGCGTCTTTGAATTGTAGGAATTGTTCTGCAGAAGTGTCGCACCAGCAGTGAAAACCATCTCATGTATGGTAGATGTTTGATCAGATCAGTTTCAAACTTCCTTCTTCGCATTTCCAGAATGTCACCCCAGATCAGTGAGGTGAAGTCGTAGTTCTTCATGAAAGCGATGCCGTGAAAGATGTAGACGAGGTAACCGCTGCATTTGTCGAAACCGCTATGCTTGGATGTGCAGCACTTGTTCAGTGTAGCCATAAGTGTCCTCCATGGTCGTGGAAATCGTGCTGTCTTGATTGCGGACATCAACCGGAGAGGTTCAGCGTGGCCTAGAGTGATCATGTCCTCAAAGATTTGCGCTTCTGAGGCCAACGCATCATAGTGTTCCTCCTCCGGGATCTGTAGCACTTGTTGGACGAGCTCCTTCGTGATTGTGACTCGGGTGTTGCAGATTGTGGCAGCTAGGACGTCATCAAGTTGTCTGCCATTCGCATCTACGTCCTTGTCAAGTGTACCCCAGAATTGTTGGAGATACACCTGAGGGACTTCAGCGTTTTCGCTCAGTGCCTTCCACAGCTTGTGTCCTTTCAGAATGGAGACGACCACGTCATCTTGACAAGAGAAAACTTCTGGGTCCAGTTGTGAGTTGTTCTCCTTGATCGGGATCCAGTGTTCCCTAGCATAGATCATGTTGATTGGAGTGTTGGCAGCCATTTCAGTCTGAAAATGATAAAGAGATTAGAGCATTTGATCGAAAGTGGCTCAGTCCACAATTTATTCCTCACTAGGGCCCTTTATTGTTTGTTTTGTTTTTTTTTTTTTTTTTTTGAAAAGTGGGGCCCAATTGAAAATGTTATTGGTCTTGATTTGAAGTTGGGCCTGGACTGGGTTATTTTGGCCCAAGATAATGATTTCCGCTAAGGGTCAGTACTGGGCTGGGCTTAGTGGTTTTGGTTTATTTTGGGCCCGGATTGGGTTTTTCACTAAGGGCTTATCGCGCAACCCTGTATATCGCGCAAGTTTATCAGATCGCTCAGGGGGTTAGGTTTTGCAGGTCAGGATCGCGCAAGTATAACGATTGCGCAAGGGTCTCGGATACCCCAAATCGCGCAAAGATCAAGATCGCGCAGATCCTTAGGGATCGCGCAAGTGCTCATATCGCGCAAAGGGAAAACGCGCAGGGCTGTAGATCGCGCACGACAATTACTTCGCGAAGTCCAACCAGATCGCGCAACCGGTAGATCGCGCAAGGTGTGAAGATCGCGCAGTACTTGAAGATCGCGCAATCACCTATAGATCGCGCAACCCAGGTCTGATATCGGGCAAACCAGATCGCGCATAGCTCACAATCGCGCGAGGTGGGGGTTTCGCACAGCTCTGTAATAGCGCATCCTTGGATTTCGCACAATGTCACCTGTTCGTCTTCTTTGTGAAATACCTGTAAAACATTTCATATGGAAACACACATGTAGGAGATT